TATTTGCTGTAATAATAATATTAGTAGTAGTAATATCATCTTTAATATATTTTAAAAGCACACCTCTGACCGCGGCATGTGTGTGTGTGTGTGTGTGTGTGTGTGTGTGTGTGTGTGTGTGTGTGTGTGTGTGTGTGTGTGTGTGTGTGTGTGTTAGTGTATTGTCACACACATACACGCGATAGAGCATGGTCTCCAACTACTTTTTACAGCAGCAAAGTTGAAATCATCCACAAGTGGCGGTCTTCCAATTCCTGATGAACTTCTACTTAGCACGTGCCAATCTCTTGTATGGACAACTGAGAGCAAGTCAATTATCCTTCCAGTATGTAGCGCCTCACCTGCGGTAAATTCAAAGGGAATAAGAGGAGCAGTTTACTGTGTTCACTCCCACAATGGCGCAAACGCTCATTTCTAACTGTGCCTATCTTCAAAAATGCCAACAGAAAGAAAACTCCACCCATGTGCACAGTTGGATTGCTCCTTGTGCTAGATTTGCACTGGGCATTAAAATACAGCCCTAAATGTGCGTGGTTGTCTCTGCAAGTTGTGCTTGGCCTCTCACCCTGAGTCACCTGGAATAGGCTCCTTATTACTTTTAACTCTGCATAACATAAGAGGTAGAAAATGTTTGGATAGATGGCTGACATTACTACTCCTCATATTTCAGATGTATCTGAACCCTGAACTCAGCTTTTGTAGACATTCTCCCAATATTGCATCTATGAGGTCATTTTCTCCAAAAACCACACAAGGCGTCTTCCATCCCTGCTTTGGAATGAACACCAGGGGTCAACGGTAATCATTGCATAACTCAGGAACGCATGTTCAAGGTTCACCCAAAAACGTTTTTCTTTTTTGTCTTTCTTTTTTTATTTTACTGACCTACGTTTGAATGTGTTGTGTGGTTTCTATTACATCTTTGTATGTGCAGATTGTGATTAAGTGGGGAACATCCTGATCTGGTTATGACGGAGCCAATGAGGAGGATCAAAGTCATCCTGATAGATTGCCATCACCACTCCCACCTGTTTCCTCAGGAATGTGCCCCTTCTCGCCAGAGTGTGTGTGTGTGTGTGTGTGTGTGTGTGTGTGTGTGTGTGTGTGTGTGTGTGTGCGTGCGCGCGCGCGCGCACGCATGTGCATGCATGTGCATGCGCGTGCACGAGTGTTATGTCTATCACACTGTTTAGGTTTCTGCATGTGTGCCCGACTTTTGCATCTGTTACCCGCGGAGGAAAAACCTGTGTATATTTCTGTGTGTGTATGCGCTTATGGGTGTGCAGTCTGTTTCAACACGTCTGCAACTTGCGGGAATTTTATAATCTGGAGCTGGAATATGTGCTCATGTCTGTGTCTGTCTAGCTACTCCACCTCCTCCTCCCCCTCGTTCTGTTCTCACTCTCTGACAGATCCAGTGTGTGCGGCGGTTCGTACGCCCCTCCGAACATGCCAACTTCTTCCTGTTTGTCTCCTCTTTCCCCAATTCCATCTTGCGCCTCTTTTCTTTTGCCCAGAAATGTTATGCCAGCTCAGCGACAGACGGTTTCTCATGAGCGCCCTCTCACATATGGCAGACATACTGAGCAGCAGTGATACACACTGCATGCACGCACTGTCTCTATAGGCCTCTCAAGTTGCTGACATTTTCCATTTTTGCACATATAAAGTATAATAATAATATTAGTGGGTGTGACAGAGCAAGGGTCCATTCACTGCCACTGCCAGCCTCCTATTAATATCCCCCCTTCTTCGGGGGAATCTGAGAAGCGGCGGAGACCTTCAGTTTACACAGCTGAGGTGCATGTGGACCAAAGTCTCCATTCTCCCCATTTTCCCTCTTTTTCTCCCTCTCCTTTTACCCTGTCCTCGCGCTTCATTTTCCTATCACTCCGCTACTTGCCCTGCTACTGGCTCCTTCACAACGTTCTGTTCCCTCTCGTTTTCTGCGTGTCTTCTTTCCCCAACCATTTAGCAGCCTTCATGATTCTCTCCTCCATGCATGGGACTGTTTTTTTTCTCTTTCTATTAAGACAGATGTCAGATGTTTATTAAGAAATTGCCGGGAGGATTGATTTGCAAGTCATCCCCTCTTTCTCATACAATCGTGTCGGCCAGAATCATCAAAATAGTCTCTGAGTGACACCCACAGCCTTTTATGTACTATGCAAAAACACTGACAAGATAGCATGTCTGTTAACCATATGTAAAGATTTGCCAATGTGAAGAGTGGCTGTCTCAGACTTTCTTCCCTTGGTGTTTAGCGCTCTCTAGCGCATTTTTAGTGTCACCGCAAAAAAACAGAAAGAGAAGGGAAGGGAAGAAAGGTCAAGGTTCATTAATCTAACATTTCGATTAGAATGCAGTATGTAGTTTTTTGTAATGAAAGGTTAAAGGGAGTATTGTTGAATTTAAAGGTGTCAGCTTTGTTAGACTTCTTAATACATGAGGTATCTATTGAAAAGAAAACAGACCTCCTTCATCATTGTTCCTGAGACAACAAACAGGTCCATCCCACTCAAGTTTCAACCACATTTGTTGCGGTGACAATAAAGGCACTGTCCACAGCGGTTAGACTATGGATGCATGCAAACATTGCTGGAAATACCATATAGGTATACACACACACACACACACACACACACACACACACGTGTGTGTGTGTGTGTGTGTGTGTGTGTGTGTGTGTGTGTGTGTGTGTGTGTGTGTGTGTGTGTGTGTGATTGACATCCAAACTCTTCAAGATGACGGGGCATGTTTGACAAGAAAACAAAACAGCCATAGATCACATGAGATGAAGAATACTTTAGAGGATATTTGCGACTCATGGCATGACGTCATCGAGTAAGAAGCTGTTATGCACCTTTTTGGCCAGTAGATGGACATCTTGGCTCAAAGATGAAAACAGCATCGTTCTTTGTCCAATAAAGGACGGAGAAAGGGGAGTTTATTGACTCCAAAATATAGGTTGTGAGGGGTTTGAACACTATCTGGTCTACGCTTTGTTTACTTTAAAAATTCCTATTTTAGTGCATTTGTTAGTGCAGTCGCTTTTGTTTTGTACGGATGGATGGATGGGCGGGATCGATAGACAGATAGATAGATAGAATGCATGCAGTACGCGGTCTTCATGTGCATGTAATTTAGAATATGCGCCACTAGAGAGAGCCATAGGAAAATAACTCGGCCTCGCCCACTTGTCAGACAAATGAACTGTGAGGTCAGTACGATGTAACCATGTCAAGATAAAAAAAAATCTAATTCAGATAAATGTCACTCACTATGAAATGTTTTGGGGTATGACGCATTCACATATTTGGCCACTTTACAAAGGCATGGCACTGCATCCGGTGTAGAGTTCAGGTTGTTGGTCAGGTGGCTGCATGGACTGGAGAAAGTAATACAGTACTCGTCTTTCTGTCACATAATGGAGTGCTTTGCCAGGCGAAAGGGGCGGCTGAAACCGTCTTAATGCTCTGTGTCATGCATGTTAAAATACGTGGCACCAGGGGTGCGCCGGTCACAGCGTTTCGGGATTATTTATCACAAAACATTTGTATTCTTCCGTCGGAGGACCGTTGATCCCGGATAGCTACACACTAATCCTTCACTCCGTTAATTAAAAAAGAAGGCAAAGCAATGGAACTGGTGCTTTACCCGCTCTCTCCCTCTCCTTTTTCCAGAAATGTAATCATTTCTGGAGAAGCTTAACCATCTGCTTGAGGTTAAGTCTGCAAGAAGATTGTGTTTTCTGCTTATTTAAACCTGGGGATTGGAGATTTTCGTAAAATAGATGGTGTGGGGGCTGGAAAGAGATAATTCTAGGATATCTTCTGTTGTCATTTGTCTGAAAGCAACTCAAGTCATTCCATTTAGCACCTTATGTCGCGACACTATTCCATCTACCCAATAACAAATAATTGTTTATTTCCTGCCCTTTATCTACCATCCCCCTCGTCTCCTTTTTAGTTGGTAACGAGCTAAGAGCTGCCTGCGGGGCCCAGGCCTGTGTCGTCAGTCCCGAGAAGAGACTTCAAGAGATTTTAAGCCGACCACACATTTACATTAGGATGCCACTCGTGTCTGTGTTGATCCACAAAGGCGTCCTTTTGCTTTGCCCCTCACTTGGTCTCTGTGCTTCGGTGCTTGTCCATCTCACCAGCATGATACAAGAAAGGGATCCCTTCAAATGTTTGCTCATATCAGTTTTCGTTTTTCTGAACAACATTAACGTCATAACTGTAAACACGTCACCTATGAATGATCTAATCCAAACTGTAATACCTGATTAGGGACAAATATGATTAAATCGTCTCAGTGCAGCTTTTATGATGATTATGTTGATACATGTGCAGGCCCGCTTATGTGAATTAAAGTCTTGTAATGCGCATTTAGGGCATGGTGTATACCTCCTCACTGTCACTTTCATTACATTCCAAAAGAAGCTCAGACATGTAGACATCATTGTGATTAAAGGACAATATCTTTAATAATCGGTTGGTATGTTAAGATATCCTTTATTTATTTGTCTCACGCTGGGGAAATTTACATTGTAAATTGTTGTGGGGGGGGGGGTAATGAAAGGGAGTGTAAAAGGAATTATGGGAAATCATGAATTGAATTGGTCCATTCAATGCATGCATTGAGTGACATGAGATCCTTGGACAATGCTCTCCTTTCAAAGCCAGAAAAAAACGCACCACGGCATGCACCACCCAATTTGCCCTCCTTAGTCCAAATCTGGCTCTGACGTCTGGTGTCAAATTTACGCCTTCTCGTCTCTTTAATAGGCCAGTGGAAGTGACACGAGGGTGGGAAATGGTTAAACGTCGACAGTAATTAGAGTCGTATACTCTACGTCCGCCAATGCGGAGCACTGAGGAGCTCAAAGCACCCGCTACCCAACCCGCTTTCTCCCTCGCTCTGTCTCTATCTCTCTCTCTCTCCTCCCTCTCTTTCTCTTTCGCGCGCGCACACACACACGCTCTCACATACCTCCCAGCCGGCTCCTCCGGGTGTCCAATACAGTGGAAAATCAAAGTGCGAGCCTTCCCAGTTCACACACGTCCTGTGTGGTGCGTGGAGCACAGTGGAATAAGAGACAGGTGGTCCATCTTTCCTCACACAGTCTATTTAGTTTGTCACTTTTAAATATGCCTAAAAGTTGCATATCACGACCACGCTGGATTGTATTTTTTAACAGTGAATAATGCGTATTTTCGATTTTATCTGGCTGAGGTGACTTTTACGCAAGGCTATACAATGGAACAGAGGCTCTCCAGATGTAGCTGGGTGCCGGTGACCGGGCTCGTAATCTGTCTACTTCTCTGTGCGTGTGTGGTGGACTTGGTGCTGGCTCAAATTCGCTACTCCATCCCCGAGGAGCTGGAGCACGGAGCTTTCGTGGGCAACATCGCGGAGGACCTGGGCTTGGATGTATCCAAGTTGTCCGCACGTCGATTTCGAATCGTGTCCGGAGCCAAGAAGCAATATTTAGAAGTGAATTTGGAGAATGGAATTTTGTTTGTTAACGAAAAAATAGACAGAGAGGAGCTTTGTGAGCGCAGCCCTAGCTGTTTTTTACACCTCCAAGTTGTCATCGAAAACCCTTTAGAGCTCTACAGAGTAGAAGTTGAGATTTTAGACGTGAATGACAACCCCCCCACTTTCCCTTGGAGCGAATTTAACATCGACATTACGGAGTCGGCTGCGCCCGGCTCCTGCTTCCCGTTAGAGAGCGCGCAAGACTTGGACGTGGGCACTAATTCTTTGCGCTCCTACCAGCTGGGCGCAAACGAACACTTCATTCTCAACATCCAGACGCGCAACGACGGGAGCAAGTTTGCGGAGCTGGTGCTGGACAACCCTTTAGACCGGGAGCGGCAGAAAAAGCACGCGATGATTTTGACAGCATTTGACGGGGGTTCGCCGGAACGCTCCGGAACCGCTTTAATCACCATCACGGTGCTTGACGCGAACGACAACGTCCCCGTGTTCGATCGATCTGTGTACCGGGCCAGACTAGTGGAAAACGCGCCGAGGGGGACGCTGGTGCTGAAGCTGAACGCCACCGACTTGGACGAGGGCTCCAACGGGGAGGTGACCTACGCCTTCAGCGGACACGCGCCTCTCAGAGTGCGCGAGTTGTTCAGCGTGGATCCGTACACGGGTGAGATCCGCGTAAAAGGCGTCGTGGACTACGAGAAAGCCAACGTGTACGAGCTGTACGTGCAAGCGAGGGACAGGGGACCCTCGGCCGTGGCCGTGCACAGCAAATTACTGGTCGACATCGTGGACGTGAACGACAACACCCCCGAAGTCATTCTCACGTCCGTGTCCACGCCAGTCCAGGAAGACGCATCACCGGGAACCGTTATAGCGAGCACTGAGGAGCTCAAAGCACCCGCTACCCAACCCGCTTTCTCCCTCGCTCTGTCTCTATCTCTCTCTCTCTCCTCCCTCTCTTTCTCTTTCGCGCGCGCACACACACACGCTCTCACATACCTCCCAGCCGGCTCCTCCGGGTGTCCAATACAGTGGAAAATCAAAGTGCGAGCCTTCCCAGTTCACACACGTCCTGTGTGGTGCGTGGAGCACAGTGGAATAAGAGACAGGTGGTCCATCTTTCCTCACACAGTCTATTTAGTTTGTCACTTTTAAATATGCCTAAAAGTTGCATATCACGACCACGCTGGATTGTATTTTTTAACAGTGAATAATGCGTATTTTCGATTTTATCTGGCTGAGGTGACTTTTACGCAAGGCTATACAATGGAACAGAGGCTCTCCAGATGTAGCTGGGTGCCGGTGACCGGGCTCGTAATCTGTCTACTTCTCTGTGCGTGTGTGGTGGACTTGGTGCTGGCTCAAATTCGCTACTCCATCCCCGAGGAGCTGGAGCACGGAGCTTTCGTGGGCAACATCGCGGAGGACCTGGGCTTGGATGTATCCAAGTTGTCCGCACGTCGATTTCGAATCGTGTCCGGAGCCAAGAAGCAATATTTAGAAGTGAATTTGGAGAATGGAATTTTGTTTGTTAACGAAAAAATAGACAGAGAGGAGCTTTGTGAGCGCAGCCCTAGCTGTTTTTTACACCTCCAAGTTGTCATCGAAAACCCTTTAGAGCTCTACAGAGTAGAAGTTGAGATTTTAGACGTGAATGACAACCCCCCCACTTTCCCTTGGAGCGAATTTAACATCGACATTACGGAGTCGGCTGCGCCCGGCTCCTGCTTCCCGTTAGAGAGCGCGCAAGACTTGGACGTGGGCACTAATTCTTTGCGCTCCTACCAGCTGGGCGCAAACGAACACTTCATTCTCAACATCCAGACGCGCAACGACGGGAGCAAGTTTGCGGAGCTGGTGCTGGACAACCCTTTAGACCGGGAGCGGCAGAAAAAGCACGCGATGATTTTGACAGCATTTGACGGGGGTTCGCCGGAACGCTCCGGAACCGCTTTAATCACCATCACGGTGCTTGACGCGAACGACAACGTCCCCGTGTTCGATCGATCTGTGTACCGGGCCAGACTAGTGGAAAACGCGCCGAGGGGGACGCTGGTGCTGAAGCTGAACGCCACCGACTTGGACGAGGGCTCCAACGGGGAGGTGACCTACGCCTTCAGCGGACACGCGCCTCTCAGAGTGCGCGAGTTGTTCAGCGTGGATCCGTACACGGGTGAGATCCGCGTAAAAGGCGTCGTGGACTACGAGAAAGCCAACGTGTACGAGCTGTACGTGCAAGCGAGGGACAGGGGACCCTCGGCCGTGGCCGTGCACAGCAAATTACTGGTCGACATCGTGGACGTGAACGACAACACCCCCGAAGTCATTCTCACGTCCGTGTCCACGCCAGTCCAGGAAGACGCATCACCGGGAACCGTTATAGCCGTGATCAGTGTCATGGACCGGGACTCGGGTGAGAACGGCAACGTGGACTGTCAAATCCCCAACACCGTCCCCTTTCAGCTGCACTCCTCTTTTAAAAACTACTACACACTGGTGACAAGTGAGGTTTTGGACAGAGAAGCGGTGTCCGAGTACAATATCACACTCACGGCGCGTGATTTGGGCTCCCCGTCGCTTTCCACGAGGAAAACCATCGTGGTACAAGTGTCTGACATTAATGACAACCCCCCACAGTTCTCACAGCCGTCATATACTGTCTACGTAACCGAGAATAACGCCCCGGGCGCTTCCATTTGCACCGTGACTGCCTTCGACCCCGATTCTAACCAGAACGCCTATCTGTCTTATTCTATTCTCGAGGGTCAAATTCAGGGCATGCCCGTGTCCACGTACGTGTCCATTAACTCGGACAACGGCAACATTTACGCACTGCGCTCCTTTGATTATGAGCAGCTTAGAAACTTTCATATTCTCGTGCAAGCTCAGGACGCAGGTTTCCCACCACTGGCCAACAACGTGACAGTGAATGTTTTTGTTTTGGACCAGAATGACAACGCTCCGATCATCGTGTCCCCGCTGCCGAAAAACGGCACCGTCGCCACGGAGGTGGTGCCCCGCTCTGTGGATGCTGGTTATCTTGTCACCAAAGTAACGGCGCTGGACGCGGACGCGGGGCAAAATTCGCGGCTGTCTTATCAGGTGATGCAGGCGACAGATCCCGGGCTGTTCAGCGTGGCGCTGTACACGGGTGAAATCAGGAGCATTCGCCGACTGGTGGAGAAAGACGCATCCATACAAAGACTGGTTATACTGGTGAAGGACAACGGGCAGCCTCCTCTCTCCGCCACCGTCTCCGTTGTCCTCACGGTGGTGGACAGCGTCCCCGAGTCCTTATCCGACTACGGCGACCTCACGCTCAGCCCGCAGCCCCCCTCTAACCTCGCACTCTACTTAATCGTGTCACTCAGCACCATATCTTTCATCTTCCTCGTGGCCATCATCGTCCTGGCCGCGGTCAAGTGCTACAAAGACCGGGAGACCCTGAGTGGCTACAATCTGCCCCCCTTCGCGTGCTGCTGCTGCGGCGGCTTTCAGCCCGATCCTCCCCCGGAGATATTCAAGAAATCCAACCTCAATCTGCAGATTTCCTCCACGGCTAACAAGGTGCCCACCAACTGCACGGAGGTGAACGGAAGCAGCAGCCTGCCTCAGCCTTATTGTTACAAAGTGTGTTTGACCCCAGAGTCGTCCAAAAGTGACTTCATGTTTTTGAAGCCGTGCAGCTCCGCCAGCACGCCGCGCAACAACGAAGCAAAGAGCGCGGAGCACTCGTGGGGCGCGTCTGTGAACAACGGAGCGACCACCCCCAATGAGGTAGATATATGCAGACACGTTATAGAGGTGAAACCACTAAACTCACCATCGGCACTTTTGTCATGCATTGTATTGTTAGACGATTCACAAGAGCTGCGAATCTAATTATTGCAACACATTTTACGAATCATTGCGCATATTTTTAATGTTTTGCACGCGGAAATGAAATGAGACGAAGAAGACGCCTGATTAGCTTTCAATTGACGTTAATGCTCCACGGAACATAATTTTGCTGCGTGTGAGTTTATCGTCTGAGAATGAAGTGAAATGTGGAAGAACGTCGACACAATGCCTCAGGGAAACCAGGAAATCATGATTAATCTGATGAAAAAATATAAATCATTGTTAATGCCTCCTCCATCAGCGCCACAGCTCTGGATAAGGGAGGAAGGAGGGGCAGACTAAATTGCTCCCTGCACAACAGAGTCTGAACAACAAGTCAAGGGTAATGGACAAGGTGAATGACAGTTGAGATTCATTTGCCCACGGTTCTGTCCATTTTGGTGCAAGCAAGGCGTCAACGTCTAACAATTTATATAGGACAAATCTCCCCTCTGGCCATCCCTCAAGGGCACCATGGACAGAACCATTATCCTCAACACAATGTGTCGTATGCGCGATGGGAGGGCTGTCCATTATTGATGAAAAATGGCCAATGTTCTGGTTTTTGGAGAGGACACGGGGAGGGTGAGCCAGGGAGGAAGGGGGGTGCGCAAGGACATGACTGGACTGAGACGTGGCCCGCCTGTAGATGGGTCCCTACGATGTCCTCTGGGTGCAAGGGGAGACTAAGATATGAAGTCATATTTATCAAGGGGGACTTGGGGGGGGGGGGCTATGGTTCGAGGGATGGAGAGGAGGTAGGGGGCTGTAAGGAGAGAGGGAATTGAAGGAGGCAGGATAGTGTTTTCTAATTCAAGCACTGCGTAGGTGTGTGCGTGTGTGTGCGCGCGCGTGTGTGTGTGTGTGTGTGTGTGTGTGTGTGTGTGTGTGTGTGTGTGTGTGTGTGTGTGTGTGTGTGTGCGTGCGTGCGTGCCCGTGTGTGGGGGCGCGTGCGCCTTTATCACCACGCGCGACACCAGACTCCACCAAGCAGACTGACAAATGTCATTTCGGTCAGGGGCACACTACTTTTGGACACGGGAGGGGGCGGGTGCTGGGTCGATGAAGTCACAGCGGGGTTGTTATGCAGGTCCTTGAGGAGAGTGTGTCCCTCTTTAATCGTTAATTGGCTCCCTAATTCACTCATCGAGGCACGCACCCTCGCAAACGTTTACATACACGCTGCTGGCACGCCTAGAGAGAGAGAGAGAGAGAGAGAGAGAGAGAGGGAGAGAGAGAGAGAGGTCGGGATAGGACACATGCATCATCCAATGACAAACCCAACTGACACGGCGAGGCGCGCGGCCACGCGTGTAGCAAACCGAAGGCAGAAGGATGGCGAGCACGAGCTTGGTCTCAACGACCTCAAGTGACTGACTGTTCAAGGCTCTTCTAATGACAAACCTTGCTCAGGCAGTCCAAATATTCATGTAAAATATATGCAGAAAGAAAGAAGAAAAACAATGATCACTTTCTTCATTTTCTCCTTGGCAAGCTTTCCCTTTGATGATTTTCATCGTGCTCCGTTTCATCCCGCTGGGCTTCTAATTGGTTTTCTAGACTGCTTGGCAAGGGCCACACTTATTGTGTACAGATACTATGACTAATTATTATTGTATTTGTTATTGCCACTGTAGCTGTTCTAGTTATTCACCTAAAGACGCTATAACACAGAATATGTGACACAAAAGCATACTGTCTCCACACACCGCTGTTCAAATGCTAGCTTTTTGTGATACAAAACAAATGAGACCGAGACAAATAATTTCAAAACGTTTCCACCGTTAATGTGACCTGTCGCCTGTACAAGTCATTTCAAAAGGAAAAATTAAAATAAAATATAAACGTGGCTGCACAAGTGTGCGCACCCTCTTCTATCTGGGGGTGTGGCCATGTTCAGAATTTACCACTCACATGCAAAAACCGAGCTACATTTTGCATGAACACACTTGAAATCTCTCAGACATGTGGGAAGTTCTTTTCTCGTCCAACTAAATCAAGATGAAACTTTTGGGCCATAATTCCCCAAGATATGTTTGGCACAAAGACAACAGTGGTCATCACCAAAAGAACATTATAACAACAGGGGAGTATGGTGATGGCAATATCATGAACATGGGCTGTTTTTCTTCAGATGGAACTGGGGCCTTAATCAAGGCGGAGAAAAGTTGTAACAGTTCTAAATAGCAGTCAGTGTTAGCATAAAACATTTAAGCTTCTGTGAGAAAGAAAAAAAAATGTCAGAAAATACTGCTAAAACAGCTGAACTTTATTTGGGGATGGTCTGTGGCAGATGTGATGACTTTTATTTAACATGAGTCTGAATGTAAGTGGT